CCACCAAATAACTTCTTGATTTTGCTTTGCATCTGTCCATTTACTGGTGGAGCTGAACAACTTGACCCACAGGAACTCCTTAAGTATAATGGATATTAATCTTCATCATCTTTCTGTCTTAATGTACTACAGCATCATGATATATCGAGTATGCATTTCAAAAAGCTGATTCTGCTATATAATTATTGCACTACTTGAAACCATAGTTACCATCTTTCATTAATTATGGAGCTTCTCAGAGACTGCTCTTCAAATTACTTCATCCTGATTTGCACTCAATCTTGTGAATCTACTAATCTCATATTATCTCTAACAACTCTTAATAGAGTTTATTTCCCATTGTTCTGTCTACATTATGACCTGGATTTTCATAGCATTCAGTTTTCCAGTTTCCTCTTCAGTTGTTTCTAACATGTTACTGAAATCTCATCAAAAGCCCTTGGTAGGTCTTCTGTTGTTTCAGCAAGACATTATTCAAGCTGCTTTTTGTTTGTTTGTTTTATTATTATTTTTTTGTGTGTGGTCTTTTTGAGACAGGGTCTCCCTGCAGCCCCAGCTATCCTGGATTCACTATGGAGACCAGGCTGGCCTCTAACTCAAAGAGATCCACCTGCCTCTGCCTCCCGAGTGCTGGGGTTAAAGGCGTGCGCCACCACACCCAGCATGTACGTTTTATTATTCTTGACTGCTGCTCCTCTGTCTTGCAATTTAATTAGTAGGTAAGAAGCCTGGGATAAAAAGTACTTTTCTCCAAGAGATATGCATTTGCTTCTGCCAGGAACACAGAGCAATCCCTAGTTCAAAGAACACTTCAAAGCCGCCTTTCGGCCTATAGTTTTGTAGGCCGCATGGGTATTTATAAATTCAGGCTGCAAATGGACAAGAGACGGCTTGTGGCTCCAAATTCTCATCAGTGAACTTTGCCCTTTCTCCATTCAGTCCTGGTTCAGATCAGGTCACTGTCTTTGCAGCACCCTTGAACAGGAGGGAAAGGAGACTGTGGGGAGAGTAAGGGGTTTTCTGGGATCGCTTTAACAACAAAATGCAGTTCTTTGGGAGTCCAGAGGTATGAAGAGGGAAACGCCCACAGTAGTCTCTCTCTGAGGACTCCCAGGTCTTTATCTTCAGTACCCCATGCCAGTGAGGTGGGAAAATTTAAGTGCAGTGAATGCTCTTAGAGAAAAAGTCTCTGTATTCAGTTTTTCAGGTTGCCATGTCTTTACTTTCTTTTTAAACCAGTAAACTTAAAATTTCCTTGAATACATTTAATGAAAGAATTTATCTGATAAAGATAAATGAAATGTTGATGGATGAAATGGCAAGGTTCCTACAATTTGTTTTAAAATAATACAAAGTGGCCAAGCATGGTGGCACATGCCTTTAATCCCAATACTCAGGAGGCAGAGGCCTGGTCAACATATGGAGTTCCAGGCCAGCTGGGACTACAAGGAAACCCTGTCTCAAAAGGACCAAAAAAAAAAATAAAAAAAAGAAAAAAATCCCAAAGTAATAAAGTTAATCCAGATTCCTAGCTCTCTCCATATTCCGAAGACCATCGCAATTTTGGTTTGCCCCTAGGAATGAACAGGTATATCTTCTGTCTTCTCCACACTTCTCTATCATGACCAAGAACTCATTTCCCTTCCCTTCCCTTCTTCCCACCTGGTCATATGTGTTATAATTTCACAAGTATCCACTGAAATAAAAACTGTTTTTCTTTTCAGGACCAGTTAAAACTTCTATCTTTGGGGCTGGAGAGATGGCTCAGAAGTTAACAACACTGGCTGTTCTTGCAGAGGACTCAAGCGAGGTTCCCAGCTAGCAGCTCACAACTGTCTGTAACTCCAGTTCCAGGGGATCCAAAGCCCTCTTCTGGCCTTTGCAGGCACAGCATGAACGTGGTACATGCAGGTAAAACACTCATGCATATAATTTTTTTAAAAAACTAACGTCTCATCTTTGTTATTTTCTGAATTATAAGTTCTCTCTGTGCTGGTTACAGAACCTTTAAATTGAATACCAAGCAGCTATAGACTGCATTCACCCCATAGTAGTAGGCTCAAAAATATTTAAAAAAAAAAAAAGGTTATGCAATATAAAGAATACTATAGAAGCCATTCATTTTTAAAGATTGTTTTAATTACAAAGTCTAAGAAACAAATACTTTTTTTTTTTTTTTTTTGGTCTTTTTTGAGACAGGGTCTCCCTGTAGCCCCAGCTGGCCTGGAACTCACTATGCAGACCAGGCTAGCCTCGAACTCACAGAGATCTGCCTGCCTCTGCCTCCAGAGTGCTGGGATTAAAGGCGTGCACCACCACGCCCGGTCAGAAACAAATACTTAGAAGCACAACATTGGTTAAATTTTTATGTGGGGAGAAGAAAGGGGGGGGGGCAGAGGAAAAAGAATAAGAAAAAACAAAAGAACTCCATAACATTAAGACCACTCTTTACCCAGTCTGTAGTGAAAGGAGCTCCATTCGCCATCAAAATACGAACTTCATCATCTTGGCCTGCTCGTGCCGCTTCTAAAAGCTTCTTTCCCAGATCTACCAGGGACATCTAAACAAAACATACATGAACTGAACATCAAAATCTCCATGTAGATATACGACACAACTTTCTCCTCATCTTTATTAGTAAGTCCATTCTCAATTATCCCTTCAAAAGGTTGTGGTATGGTTAATCTAAAAGTATTGATCACACAAAGGCAATTTATATTTGGATTCTTGAAATATATTTTCTTTTCTCATTAAGTTTTTATCTGAGTAAAATTAGTCTGAATTCTTCAAATATAGCCCGTAAAAGATAGAAGAGACAAGTTAGCAGATACAATAAGAATTAAAATTGGCAAATTATTTTCATTGGCAGTGTAATAAAATTTTCATAAAAGTAAATATAGTTGAAGAAATTATCTTGTTACCAGTGCAAATTAAACTAGATCCACTTTAATTTCTTTTCCTTTGTAATAGTAAATGTGTTCAGAATTCTAAAGTAGATGTCTTCTATGCTTGTGCATAGAATGTACACTTAGTTTTCCAGAAAGGGAAACAATTCACTAAGGGAGTACTAAAAAGGGAGTGTAATAGTCTCAGGATTAAGAAACTAGAAAGACTGGGTATGTTGGCCCACCCTTTAATGCTAGCTGTGGCTACCAGGAGACCCTGTCTCAAAACAACAACAACAACAAAAAAAAAAAAAAAATAAGTAATAGGGAAAGGGAGGCAGGGAGGGAGGGAGGGAGGAGGAGAGAGAACATGAATATGAATGAGAGTGAATAAATACATAGATGTGTCAACACAATGTCAGGAGTACACAGGTAAAGAGATTTCAACCTATCAGAGATGCTCAGACTCAAGAAATGATCATGTTAAGGAAAAGCAAGCTTCCAAATACAGAAGACTGTCCAGCTACGTGGCTACTCCACATAACATCCTAAGCAAAGAAGAACAGGTAAGATTTTAGGCATGTGGGGAAGTAAATATACGTACTCTTGAGGTTTAGAAAGAAAAAAAAAAAGTGTCTGGGATTTGAATTTGTCTAAAAAAAGAACAGTCATCAAGGGTCAAAGAGAAATGAGCTGTAAGGGAGGAGAGGCAATGGGTCAGTGAGTCCCAAACTTACATGAGCAGCTATCACTTGAGAAGAAGAGGAGTGTGTGTGAAAAATTAGCAGATGGAGCTTGAAAGGGTTGTCTCTGTCAGGAAAGGATAGAATATACTACATAATTAGACATGTTAGGAAATATAAAAGGGGTAACTGTAAGAAAAGATACTTCTGAAAGTCTAACCATGCTAAATACCAAATGTTTAATAGATTCTGTAAGATGAGAACATCCAAGCCAAGCACAGGACAAGGGAAGGCTGCGAACACTAGGTGGCTTGCACAAGGGATGAAAGGTGTATGGCCAAAATAAGCATCTGTCACAGGGCAGGAAAGAATTTCTTTAAAGTAGTTCTACTTGGGCCAGGCATGGTGGTGCATGCCTTTAATCCCAGCACCAGGAGGCAGAGGCAAGTAGATCTCACTACAGAAAGAACCTGTCTCAAACAAAAACAAAAGACAATTCATAATACATCCTGTGGTGAAGAATAAGAAAGACAACATGTGCATCTGTAGGATTTCTGTGAGTTTTTTGTTAAGTGTTTTTTGTTGGTTTGCATGTGATCCTTGGCACATTCTTATCTATGTATTCCTAGTTTTCTTTTTTTGTCTCCTCATTATCTCTGTAATCCACTGTAGTCTTTAATCCCTCCAAACATACTAAAGGCAAAAGAAACTACTAATCCCTAAAATAACAGCTTTTTTCTAGGGAATACATAGTAGCTTGAAAGTAAAAGTTGCTATGACCTTCAAAAAACCTTAACAAATATCTTCCTTTTCAAAGGCAACAGAAGAGGAAATCAGGAAACAAAAAAATGATTCCTCTCTAGCAAAATCCAAACTGGCCACACTATGTAACACAGTATCTATACTCTAGATATAAATCTGGCTCCAAAATGAAATATATCTTTCAAAATATACACATTTTGAAACACTGCATACAATTTAAACGTCTTACAATTAATGTTATCAGCTGCATTCGCCCAGCATTCACAGTGCCAGTCAGAGCACATACCTGAGAACACCTACAAAGTGCCAGCTTAGGGGCTGGAGAGACAGCTCAGCAGTTACGAGCACTCACTGCTCTTGCAGAGGACCCAGGTTTGATTCCCAGCACCCACACAGCAACTATGAACCATCCTTAACTCCAGTTCCAGGGGAATCCGACGCCCTCTGACGACCTCAGCATTGCACAACACAGGTGCACTCACATACATGCAGGCAATACACTCATACGCATAAAATAAAATTTTTTTAAAAATAGCAAATGATCTCTTATAGGCATTGCAATAACACAACCAAGCATTTGAATAAATCAACTCCTGTAATTCTCCCAATGTCTTAATTATTTAAAAAATGTATCATATTTAAGGACCTAGGAGACAAGCTATTCTGATTTTAAAACACCATAAGTAGTATAATAGATTCATGTAAACTAGATCTTAGGAATCAGTGATTCTCTGTGTGGCAACATTGCCCCCTTGAGGCCCTTTATGGAAGCATTCTGGGGACTGAAGGGGAAAGCTCTACCAGCATTTAATCGGCAAGTGTTAGGAAAACTACAAGTCTAGTGGAGACAATCTCAATTCTCACATGCTCTGGGTGATTTTCAAAAGTTTCACAAGACTATACAGCCTAATTGACATGTAAACAAGATGTAATTTTTTTACTGTCAAAAGTATTCCATATTTTCCAGGCTCCAACCATACCAAATCTATGTTGTTTGCAACTTCACTAAGAGCTGTTGAAGATTCTGGAAAATTATGATACCAACACAGTGCCATTTTGTACCTGTATCTCCAATATGACATATCAATCAGCAATAGGCAGCTACAGTCATCCATGCAAAGTTAGTTTCAGGACCCCATCATGTATCAAAATCTGTAGCACAGCATACTCGTAATCTATGGCTATCCTCTCACATACTTTAAACACCATCAGACTGCTTATACTCTCTAATACAATATTAATGCTATGTAAATGACTGCTTAGGGAATGGTAAAAGTGCAATTCAGATGAATGTTTTTAGTGCATTTTTATCTATGACTGGTTAAATCTGAGCACACGGAACCTATAGATAAAGGGAGCTGACAGTCCAGTTACCACATTCAGTCAATCAACATAAGCTTGAGTATTTACAAACTTTAATACATATTTTATTATTATATTTAGTTCCCTCCCTTTCTCCTTTATAAGCAAAACCTTTTTTTAAAGATACGGAATATTAACAATGACTTTTTTCTCTTGAAAAGTTTTGTTTCTTTTTTTTTTTTTTTTTTTTTTTTTTTTTGTTTTTTTTTGTCATTTTGAGACAAGGTCTCCCTGTAACCCCAGCTGGCCTGGAACTCCGTATGCAGACCAGGCTGGCCTTGAACTCAGAGTTCTGCCTGCCTCTGCCTCCCAAGTGCTGGGATTAAAGGCGTGCACCACCACGCCCAGCTTCCTCTTTTAAATATATATGTATTTGTATGTGTGTCTGTGCCTGTGTGTGAGTATCTGCATGTGAGTGCAATGCCATGGAGTCCAGAAGAGAGTGTCAGATCTCCTGGAGCTAGAGTTACAGGCAGTTGTGAATCACCCAACATTGGTGCTGAGAACCAAACTCCAGTCCTCTGCAAAAGCAGCACATGCTCTTAAGAAGCGCTGAGCCATCTCTCCAGCAACTTAACTAGGCTTTTCAAGTTCACAGAAGGAACAAAATAAAATATTTTTAAAGGCAAAAGTGAATCTAATAGAATACGCAAGATCAAGGAAGCCAAAAATCAAAAATGCCCTAATTTTGTCAAGACAATTAATAAAACTTTAAATAATAAAAAATACCAAAACATAGCAACCTTTTTTTATTCTTGCCTGAGAGGAGCCCAATAAAGTAATTCTGACTCAGAGGAACTCAGCTGTACCCAGAGAGTAAAACTGTCCAAGAAACTGGGAGGTCCGCCCAGCAGGTAAAGGGCTTGCTGTGCAAGCATGAGGACCAGAGTTCAGCTCCCAGGCCTACACCTGGAAGGCAGAGACAAGGGATCCCTGGACAAGCCAGGTAGCTAGACTCACTAACTCAGGGTACTGTAGTTCAGTGAGAGGCTCTGCCTCAGTAAATAAAGTACAGAGCAACTGAAGAAAGACACCTGATATCAATCTCTGGCCTTCACGTGCATGTGCACTCACACACATGCACACTCACATAAACACATCCATACATATGTGAACACACATGTACACATGCACAGCACACATACACACACCAGGTCAAATCCTCAGTTCACTCAGCCTGATTATCTACATATTAAATCCTCAGAGACAGCTCGACTTAAATAAAGCCATTTTAGGGGTTAAGAATACAAATATGTGGCTCTTCATATGATTTTCTCCAATCAAATGAAGAAATATAATTCAGTAAATTTTATTTTATTATTTTTATTTTATGTGTATGAGTGTTACGTCTGATGTAGTAAGTGCACCCGTGTCATGCAATGCCTGCACGGATCCCCTGGAACTGGCGTTCTGCACAGTTAGCTGCCATGTGGGTGCTGGGATACAAACCTGTGTCTTCTGCAAGAACAGCCAGTGTTCTTAACCGCTGAGCCAGCTCTCCAGCCCCTCAATAAATTTTAAGGATGCTAAAAATACTTACTCAGGACATACTCGGCATGTTATGTCATTTAGTTTAATACTCCTTTCTCCTTAAAAATATAGAAAAAAGACCCACAATATGTCCCACCTTGAAATTCTTTAGTTTATAAAATACTTATCACAATCTGACACAAACCATTGTTTTACTGCAATTCAAGCATATTAAACTCAGGACTACAGAGCAACTTCAACATCTACTCCAGAGCTACTTTTGCTCACAAGCATTGTACATGCTGAGGAACATCTAGTGGTACCAGGAGTTACTACCAACAATGACAGCTTACTTCGGTATATATTTCTTTTTTTGTTTTGATTTTGATATGTGATGG